AATAATAAAAAGGGATATAACCATCGACTGGCGAGGGGGAAATCGGTAGATATTTTTAAGTGTAGCGTATTGTCTGTTTATTTTTGTAATACAGTAGTTTTAGATATATATATAATGTATTTGCATTTTGTGTTTGTGCTGATTTAAAAAAGAAAACATGTTAAAAATTTAGAATGCTTTCTTTTCTGTCACAACCTATAGTAAGCAATATTCAACAAAATGAACAGAAGTGATTTATGAAACATGTCATTAGCCTGACATGGAACTTCCTTGGCATCATTTATTTTATTTTTTAAAAATTACCAAGCACCTTGGAGAACTAAAGGATCATTCAGACAAGATTAGCACTCTTGACCTGCCACAAGTGATAGTAATTCTTTGAAGCTGTGCAAGCGAACAGTGAACTGTTTCCTCTCCAATCATAGGGTTGGAAAGGTAGCTATTTTCTGTACTTCCTTGAATGATGGTAATTATGGCATTTTGAAACATATATTACCTTCTTACTGTGCTAAGAATTATACACATAGCTTTCAGTAAATTTAATAACAGTGAAATGGATGGTTTTTGATAAAGGTAGGGGTTACATCTCTTGATAGGTACTCTTTTAGAAGGAGGGTAAGCAACCTGCTACACCAGCTGCAAATGCTCTAAATGCTCTATTCTCTAGTTTAAGTTCCCATTTATACTTACCCAGAAATTTGTGCTGAAAGCAAACAGTTTTCAAAATGGACTGCTCATATTGGACTCCCCACAGGTATGGATTTTGGGTCAATTGTGTGTGGAGTTTTTTAAATTACCAGGAAAAACTACTACTGCTTGCTTCTTGCAATTCATCATGAGCCATCATGCAAGAAATAACATTATTCTTCCATGTACCAGTGCTGCATTTATGCAAATAAGATAAGTAAGCTACAAGTTAGAGCAGGAGTGAGAATTGTAGCTACAATTGAACTACAATTTCAGGTATTCATTATTATTTGCTATGTTAGGAGCTGCAGTTCAATAATATTTAGAGGACCACACATCCCCTCTGCCCCATTTAGAGCCTCAAAAACAACAGCAAGTAAATATAAAGTTTTACACAATTGTTAGAATAATAGAATTATTATGAGGACTAGGCAAGTCTTAACAAGTCTTGATCTGGCTTTGTCTGTGGATTTTCCTTAAAATACTTTATAGCTATATTCTTCTACATGTTGTATTGATTAGAACAGGCTGTCACCTGTGCGTTACCCATAGCTCTCTTTCTAGCCATCATTTGAGCTGCTGAGAATTCATGGAATTTTTATAAACTTCCTTACTACTGCATGGTAAAATGTAAACAGCAGAAGACAGTTTCTGTGTGGCAAATGAAAGTAGCAGAGTTTCTGCCAGGCAGTGTTAATGAGACCATTAGCCTCTAGCTAATGCAATAGAAGGCCACTTGTTAGATTTAGATCCATATATTAGATTGTCATCAGAGATTCAGACTCTAGCTGTTACCGCTTACCTAACCTTACATTTTGTTCTCCTGCTGGCTGATCATTTGTTCAGGGTTATTAAATAAATGTGCTGTGTTTCCCATCCCAGAGGCCATCAAGTCTGACAATCACTGGTATCCCAAGGGCAGATCTGGTTTGATTGAATATTTATTTCCGATTCCATGTCTCTGGTGTGCCAAAACACAAGGGCTGTAATAAAGGAAAGTAGACTGAATGAATGGTCTTTAACATGGGGTTTGCTTGACAAGTCTTGTTTTTCCACTACTGTATTTTTATACTGACAACATGACAGAAAAGATGGCTTTTCACTGAGCTCTGGCAAAGTAGTACTTTGCTTTTTGTAAACTTCAAGTTGGTTTCCTGTGTATACAATGTTTGAAATTGTGAAAGTGGAACTCAGTCTTCAGATTTCCCTTCCAAGGGAAATCAGGCTGGCTCCTTGACTTTAAAAAAAATCTTATAAAGCATTAAAATATATATCCTATTTCAGAAGACTTTTAAATACTGGAACATTATTTATTTATTTGAAGAATGCAAGTTTTCTTATGGGGCATGTGGTGTGTACCAACTGGGTTGCTGACATCCCAATTACATTACCATTTTTTTTTTCTGGTGTCAGTTTAAGATGCCTGTAGTTTTCTTCAGGCATTTCAATGTGAAAAATACCTTAGACTCTTGCAAGTTTAATTGTTACTTCCTTTTCATTTAACTGTGGTGTTTTTAGGATATACAATGGGCCCTTGGTATCCACTGGGGTTTGGTTCCAGAACCCCCTACTGGATATCAAAATCCATGGATGTTCAAGTCCCATTGAATACAATGGCACAGTAAATTGGTACCCCTTATACAAAATGGCAAAATCAAGGTTTGCTTGTTGGAATTTATACATTTTAAAATACTTTCAAGCCATGAATGCTTGAATACATTGACATGGAGGCTGAATTGTACTTTCAGTATTTTGCAATATAAGTATTTATTCAGATTTATTCTGAAATCTCTTTGAAAAGGGAGAAATAAATTAATAAAAACAACAAAGCACTGCCAATTCTCAAATTTGCTGGACAGAAGGGGAGATGGTGATGGTAGTGGTAGTGGTGATAATGGTGATGATATTTATTTATCCACCGAGCCATGCCGGCTCTCTGGGCTGCTGATCCGCTAAGCCATGCCGGCTCTCTTAGCTGCCGATCCGCTGAGCCACGCTGGGTCTCTCAGCTGCTGATCCATTGAGCCACGCTAGCTCTCTCAGCTGCCGATTCACTGAGCCATGCTGGCTCTCTTGGCCACCTATCCACTGAGCCACGCTGGCTCTCTCGGCTACCGATTTGCTGAGCCATGCTGGCTCTCTCAGCTGCCAAACCTGAAATGGCTGCCGCCACGTGCCTGAGCCTTAAATAGGCTCCAAATCTCACCAGAAATCTCACAAGACTATGAAGTCTCATGGGTTGCTGGGGGATCTGGCGAGATCCCCCCCTGATTGGGTGGGAGCCGCAGGAAGGGTAGGACTTCCTGCCCTCCCAGCCAATCATGGCGTTGGCCTTCTTAAAATGGCTGGCGCAACAGAAGGCCCCTCCCGACACATCGGGGGAGCTCTTTTTCTAAAATAAACAGAGGTGTATGATGTAGAGGCATACATATATTTTCACATCTAAGGAAGTATAATAATAGTGGTATATACCCATCAGTTGTGTGTGGGGGGAGGAGGTCAGTAGTATATGTTTGTTTTTGTTTAGTAGTTTGGTTAAGTTTGTTTTGATATTGTTCCTTGTATATGCTTATTTTAGATATATTTGTATGAAAATATATGCTGCAGCGGAAAAGTCGCTGAAAGTGCACCGCAGCCTTTTGCAGTGCACTTTCGGTGACTTGTAAAAGGAGCGCTGATTTAACGCTCCTTTCAGGGGCGGCGAAGCTGCGCTGTGGGATCGAGGCATGGGGATGCCTCGGTCCCGCGGCGCAGCTTCCCAGGGCGGCCCATGGCCGCTCGTCGGCTTAGCCCCTAATTAACTGAGCTTCAAAATGTTACTTTTTTTTGGATTACAACTTCCAGAATCCCCCTTTCTGGGGTTGTTTTCTCAAGTTCTGGAAATTGAGGAAATAAAGGGTGCAGTATTGAATTTAAATCCTGCTGCATGTGATGCAGCAGTACTATCTTGGGAAACCAATAGCAGCAAACAGGATTTTAGTAGATATTTATGACTGCCAGAGGCAACACTTTCAACCTCGAAATCGATCCTGGAGAACATTCACAACTGTAAAGCAGAAAAGTAGGAGGAGGGAAGTCATCCTACCATACAACTTGCCAATATCTATCTATCTATCTATCTATCTATCTATCTATCTATCTATCTATCTATACATATATATCCAGTCAATATAATTAACTTTTTAACTGGCAAGAAAGCCTGTAGCACTCAGGATGGCTGTGCTCAAAAAATGACTGGGTTTTTAATTTATTTGATTCCCATCAAATTGTATCTCCCAAGTGACTGTATTTATTTGTGTTGAGTACTGAAATAGACAGAACTTGAAACCATCAGGGCTTGCCTTAATAGAACAATAGCACGCTGACCTTTTTGGAAGCAGGATTGAAACACTTAGTCCCTTTCTTTCCCATAGTGGGATGCATTGGAGCCATTTTTATCATCCTGAGAATTCTTGTTTTTCTGTTCCTCTTGCTATAAAGCCTAATTACTATTCCTTACACAAAAGCCAATGAACAAATCCTATTTTAAAAACCCACAGGGATTGCAAAAGGATTCTCAGTGCTCCCAGAGAGCCAGCAGGTTTCTGATTACTATTGACAAGTTTACATTTGTTCCAATCCAGGATATTTTTAATGTATTGATGGTGGGCTTTCCCCTCCCTGGAATTCTCCTAAGGGTTCAGAGTACATTACAATATAAAAGGTAAAAGTATTCCCCTTTGACAAAGTTATCATGTCGTGTCTGACCGTAGGAGGCGGTGCTCATCTCCATTACTAAGCTGAAGAGCCAGCATTGTCAGAAACTACTCTGTGATCATGTGGCTAGCAAGATTTCACAGAACGCTGTTTACCTCCCACTGAGAAGTGGTACCTATTTATCTACTTGTATTTGCATGCTTTCAAACTGCTAGGTTGGCAGAAGCTGAGACTAGTGACAGGAGCTCACTCCATCATGTGGCAACTGGGCCTCAAACTGCCAACCTGTTGATCTTGCAACCAATAGAGTCAGTGTCTTAACCACTTAAGCCACTGCATTTCTTACATTGCAATATAAACATACCTAATATTACTTTCAAGAGCCTGCATGGTGTAGTGGTTTGAGCATTGGCTCTGGAGACCAGGGTTCAATTCCCTACTTGGCCATGAAACCTAGTGGGTGGTCTTGGGCATGTCACATTCTCTCACCCTCAGAGGAAAGCAATGACTAACCTCCTCTGAATAAATCTTGTCAATAACACCCATGATAGGTTCACCTTGGGACTGTAACAAGTCATAAGGTACACAACATGAAGGCACACAACATTTCTTTCAGAGCCAGTGTGGCATAGTGGTTTGGGTATTGGATGATGACTCTAAAGAGCAGAGTTCAAACCCCTGCATGGCCATAGAAATGCACCAAGTGATCTTCAGCAAATACTCATAACCTCAGAGGATGGCCAAGGCAACCCCCCCCCCCGAACAAACATTTCCAAGAAAACCCCATGATAATTTCATATTTGAATCACCATAGTGAGAAGCATCTGGGAGGCACACAACAACAATATTACTTTCACAACAAACCTGCAGTTTAGAGAGTTATTTGCACAAGGGAGAATAATTTGCTCATTAACAGATGTGCTCCATCACCTAAGAAGGAGATGGCAGAAGGTTGCCTTAGAACTTGAAGTAGATCTCCTTAGTGATGTACAGTACATTGGCAAATATTTCTGACTCCCTGAAAATGGACAGTAATTATTGCATCACCCAAAGTATACACCTAAAATAAAGGAGAATTTAACAAATCAGGAGTGGGTTTTTTGTGCGGAAGGACAGTGAATTATATTTTCTTCTGTCACTCAGAATAAATCCCAGAGTAATAATTTTAACATTGTAAGCATATGCCTTTTGCAGCTGGCTCTATTTGGTTGATCTCTGGGTTTTCCAGTGGTGGAGGAGGAAATCCCTTTATCTAGGGGATTCATTGCTGCAAGCACCAGACCTGGATCAGGTCCAGGGAGGCAGCCAATCAACAAATGGAACAGGAGTTGAGTAAAGATTTGGATCTCCCCATAGTAGTGGGTCAAGAACTGCACCCCAACTTTTGTGAGCAAGTATATGCCATTATTTTTAAAGTGTTGGCAGGCTCATCCATGCAATCAATGGCTTCTGGCCTCTCAGCTTCCTCCCTCCATACTTGAACAAGAGGCATCTTCACAGGAGGATCACAGGGGTGATAGTTATGGGTCCCCAAAGTAAAGAGAATTGTCCTCTTCACCCGGGTGAGAACATCAGATATACCATTCACAGCTGACTGCATGAAAGTGGTTAAGGAGGAGTGAGTTAAACCAGCCACATTATGCCCAAATCCTATGTCTGTTAAGATATTTTATAACTTATTTCAACAGATGATGGCAAAACTGCTAATCCCATTGGTAAAAGCTCCAGTATCAGCCTTTGTATCTTCTTCCATCTATGCTAAAGATAGGGAAGACACCCTTAAAAATTCTGAGGAGAGAGCAGAGCAGATGAGGCACTTAAAAGGACCTATGTGGCATCTTCCATGCTAATTAGGGCTGCATCAGCAATTTCAGTCTTCTCTAGGGCTGCCTTTATTTGGGTCAAAGATCTTATTCAAGAGGTCTCTCAGAGAAATATCAAATTACGCCAAGGCATTAAGCTGTTTAGAGTAGCTGGTTTGTTGTTTTTTTTCAGCTGATGCTAGTCTAGATGTGATACAGTTTAGCTGTAGAGCACAGGTAGCCACTGTACCAGTCAGATTTGACTAATGAACTGGAATGCAAATGCCTGTTCTAAACACAATCTGACATTTGCCCCATTTACTGGAGGCAGGCTCTTTGGAGAATCAGTGGATCCAGTATTGGTAGAGACAAAAGATGAGAAAAAAGCATTAGCTTTTTCACACACAAAAAGACAGGAGGTCTTTTTGTCAGGAACAGTCCTCCTTTCATCCCTGCAAATACATTTATAGTTCCTTTAGCCCCAGAGACAATAGGTTTAGCAGGCAGTAATTTGAGCAAAGATACCAACCTCGGCAACAGTCCCAAGCACAGGATTTCTCCGGATCCAGTAACAAAAATGTTAGTGGTAGTACCACTTCTGGGAAGCAAGGAAAGAAATTGCTTCAGTCATGACTGTCTGGAGTTAAAGGTAGGAGGAAGGTTGCAATCTTTCTTCCACATTTAGGATGAGACTGACAGATCAGTGGGTCAACTCTGAAAGAAGGCTATCTTGTAAAATTTATGTACCATTCTCATGATTTTTTTCATTGCCTCCCCAAGGTCCAGGAAACCAGAGATGTATCAGCTGATGCTAGAAGCCATAGAATATTAGATTGAGATTGGAACCATTGAAACATTGCTATCGTTGGAAAGATGAGTGCTTGCTCCATCTTTTTCATTGTCACCCCCCCCAAAAAAACCACTCAAATTCGGGAGGGTGGTCTTGGACCTGAAATAGGTCAATTGGTTTGTGAGGAACTGCAAATTCAGAATGGAGACCCTCAAGACAATCCTGGAAACACTTTGGCCCAAGGATTTTTTGTGTACCTGGACTTGCCCAAAGTGTACTTGCACATTCTGATCAACTCACTCCACCCCAGTACCTGTGCATTGTTTACCAGGGGGAACATTTTCAGTACAAGGCTCTACCATTCATTCTGTTGTCCTCTCCAAGGGTGTTCGCCAAAGTGATAGTGGCTCTAGTGACCTATTGGAAACAGCATGACCTATATGTATACCCATATCTTAGCAATGCTCTGATCAGATCTGCTTCTCTTACAGGGCTTCAGAGATGTTGGCATTAGTATTGTAAAATGACGTAATAATTCTTCTAGTGCCTAATGAATAGTGGGCAATAAAATGACTGTTCTCCCCGCAAGAGAAGTGTGAGAAAATTACAGTGTCTCATTCCCTCAAAAAGGACAGCCATCACCCATTCCAATCAGGGGCAGGAAATTTCATTGTTCCAAATTGTTTTATTGTTTTATGGTATCAACCATACCTGTAGAGAACTACAGTGGCTTGATAAACTGTTCTTTGGCTTTGGAATAAGTGAGAAGAAGCCAATTTAAATCTTTGAAGGTAACCAAAGCTGCATTAGACTTTCTCAAACAGATAATATAATTTGACAAAGCAAACACATTGATATAAAGGCTCATTATGTGCACAATTTAACGAAGGCCTGACCAAGATGACCTATGGTTCAACTACTGAGATGAAAGCTGACATCTTGACAAAGCTGCTGCCCAGAGATGCCTTCTAAAATCTACAAGATGGAGCTGGTTGGGTGTATGCTTAAGTTGAGAAGGAGTGTTGGAAATACTGCAACCTAAGCATGATGAATCTTTCTAGGAAGTTAGATGCATGTCTATGACAGTTTATTGTTTTATGAACCCTCATTTCCTGCTTCTCTAAGAGTGCAGTTCTCTTTGTCCCTGGAGGGATCACCATTACCTTGTTTCTTTGTCCTTTGACCAAAAAGCATAGACTCTCCAAGCATGCTGATAGAAACTTTCTTTGCAAGAATGTGAAATCTGATTTTCTTTGCAACATTAAGCTGGACCTGTGTATATGTATTCACATGATTTTGTAAGTAAATCTATTTTATTTCTCTCTCTCTAAAGACTTTGTATTGATTCTTTTTGGGGCAGACACACAGGTCTAGGAGAAGAATAAGAGGGGACTAGTTTGCTTTCCTGCTCACACTCTTTCTGCTATGTTTACTTTGCTGGTGTGATTAAATCAATTTCTCCTATTTTCCTGAGCTTTCTAATGAATCTCAAGGAAAATTCCAACAGAAGGCACCTCTAGGAGCCACTCAGTCCAACCCTCTTTTGCCATGCAGGAATACATAGTATCCTAGAGTTGGAAGAGACCCCCAAGGGCCATCCAGTCCAATCTCCTTTGGCCATGGAGGAATACATAGAATCCTAGAGTTTGAAGGAACTTCTAGGGGCCATTCAGTCCAATCCTCTTCTGCCATGTGGGAATACATAGTATCCTAGAATTGGAAGGGACCCAAGGGCCATTTAGTCCAACCCCCTTCAGCTATGCAGAAATATGTAGAATGCTGGAAGTACAAGGGACCCAAGAGCCCTTCAGCCCAACCTTCTTTGGGCATGGAGGAATACATAAACTTCTAGAGTTGGAAGGGGACCCTCAAGGACCATCCAGGCCAACCTCTTTGGCTATGCAGGAATACATAGATTCCTAGAGTTGAAAGGGATCCCCAAATGCCATCCAGCATATGTATGTGTGGTGTCCGCATATGCACCTTCAACTAGCACAGCTTCCTTGATCCAGATGTTGTTGGACTGTAGCTCCCAGCATTTCTCAGCATTGGCTACACCAGCTAGAGGATGCTGGGACTTGCAATCTGGAAATTCACATGTTACAATAAGGTCCTATTTATCTATTCTATCACTGTGTTCCCGCATATTAAGATTTTGGTAATACATGATGTGGGCTGCTTTTGGCCCACTGCCAAACTATCTGGGAACACTTCTGTCCTACTAAGTTGGTTTTTGCAGCCCCTGACTTCTCCAGTCTCTCCTGGCTACACTTTTGTGACCACAAAAAGGGTGAGCTGCCTCTCTTTGAAGGCTCCAGGAGAAAGACTTTTACTTTTAAATAGCTTACATCTCCCCTATTTAATGTTCCTCCCCCAAAAAACCATCCTCCTTTGTGTGACATTTTCTGTTTGAGCTTTGACAAATGGGAATCCAATCACTGAAAAAACAACATCTCATTAGCAAGATAGTTTTGTTTGTCACTTGTGTGAAATTAACACACTCTTCCATTTATGTCAATGACACCCTAAAACAATGAAACAATTTGGAACAACGAACTTCAAAGAAATTTCCCCAGTTGGGCCATGTGAAAATTCTCACACCTATTCGATCATGTGACAAATTTCTCAGCTCCTATGTAAATCAATTAAAGGGGCTGAGAAATCAGCAATTTGTGACTTTAGTGAAACAGAACGCAGCATCAGCAGCAGGAGAGCGGAGGCTGGGAAGGTTATAA